GGTTATAGAAAGACGACAGATTAGCAGACAAAAATTCTAAAAACTATAGATTAAGCCTCTGTATGGATAATAATGTCTATTTCTATAAGATTTTTCAAAAAATATGTTATATACGGATTCGACTCAGTTAGAATTTTATTATATGTTTTTTGTTTTACATATTATGTTTGTATTCAGCCTTTTTTTAAATATTATGCTTATTCTTATTTATTTTCTTATCGTTTCTTTGCACTTTATTTTTCTGTCAAGCTACTTAACACTATTTCCCACATACATGGGTTGACTGGAAGAGATCTCTTATAGAGATAAGTCCACCTTTGTCCACATCCTTTTTTTTTTATTACTTGTTTAGAGTTTAAAGAATATATAATAATATGTACGTATAGTCTATAGATAATAATAAAATTATTATTACATAATATTAAAGGAAGTAACGCCTTATTTAACTAGTTGGGAAGCGCTAAGCCGGAAACAATAAAACAAACCACATAAGCTATTGTTTTCATACGAGTAACATTCGTCACAACTAGATAACTAGCATAAATACTTTAATCATGTACATACTAGCTTTTGCTTCTGGATCTGCTCGCATAGCTATATTGTTAACATATTTGATCTTTTCCTACAGATCACAGTGAAATGCTAGGTCATCTACTGTAGATATTTTGTAAGATATAAAAATTAGAGCGACGTCATAAAAGGACTCAATATGGGTGTTTTTTTGTTTATTAGATGATTTCTTCGCTAAAAGAAAATGGACTTACATGACTTTTTTAAATATAAGTTATTTATCGCTTTTTTATTATTTTTTAATATATAAAAATGGACCCATATACGTTTCGAAAAAAATATCTTCTCCAAACGGTAATAGTTAAAAATATATTTTTATCGTGATTTTGAATTGGGTCACGTTTATGGTAATTTTTTATATTTTTTATATAAAAAGTAGGAGGTTATCAATTCGTCAGTTTTTTTTATATTATGTATAAATAGGTACCATAGCTATTTACAGTCTATGTATTTCTCTTAGTATTCTTTTTTATTATGTCACTGGACAATTATAAAATAAGTGACCTAGGCGTTTATTTACAACTAGCGACCCACTAGGTACGTTTTAATTTTTTTAAGCTCAACTCTAATTGGTTTCCAAAAAAACAAAAGTAGCTTAACCTACTCCTTATAACATATGCTATCTGCCAGTGAAAGTCCCGTCGTATTGGTCCATTTCGGAGATTAGCCGGACCAAACAGACACAGAGACAAAAAGTTTAATTTTTTTTATATGTGTGGTACATAATTCTAAATAATGGAAATTAGTAAAAAGCTGCTATTTTGACATTACAAAAATACACTTACCCTTATATTTTTATAGCCTCTCTACATAAAAGAATTTCTATACTCTGCCTCTACTTTACAGTTTACATGCCTTTTCTCCACACTCATTTAGTAGGTATGACTATAGATACGCTTGTCTTGGTTGTGACAGACAGACAGACAGCCAGGCTTATCGATTAGACCTAATCTTATTATGTATTGTAATATAATATTTTTAATACAAAGTTTGCTTAAATATTTTTAATTAATTAATATGAACAAGATTTTTTTATCTGCTAACTTTGCTTGTGTTGCCATCTATAGATAGGGTAAGGAACTAGAAGGACATGTACAGTCGACTCTATATATCAAATGTGCGGTTAACGATTACTTTATATAGATGGCGCTATTAGTAAAGACTAAAGAAGTACATAAATACACAGATCATATAATACTTCTAGCAGAACCCACAGCCACGCTCGTGCTTCATCTACAAAAAAAACTCTTTGGCTTTATGGCTTTATTTATATAATATTTATTGGTCATACAAAAATACTGAAATCGCGATTAAAAAATGGGGGGTGAGGGTAGGAAGATGACATACATTACGACCTATTCTTATACCTATCAAATATACAACCAAATATCATTAAAATATCATTAAAATCGGTCGAGCGGTTTCGTAGGAGTGCGACCACAAACACCGTGACACGAGATATATTATAAATATAAGATTAGGAAGGAAGATCTTCACTTTACTATAAATAATAATTGTTATTTTTTACTACCGTTAGAACAGATGTTTCTGGCTGATATTATTTACTATAACCGATCGCGAGTTCGATTCCTAGACAAAGTTTATGAAATCTACCATGATTAAGCTAAAACACGCCTTTTCTTAAAAAAAATCTCAATACTTTTATTATTAGAACGAAATAAGGTGTAATACAATATACTCGTAAGTAAAAATTGGACATGAAAACAAAAATCATTTTTTTTATTATTAAGTTAACTGATAACTTGATTTGAACCACACTTCATCCTGTTAAATTGAAAAATCAGATTTCTGCATTAAATCATCCAGCGTGAGTGAGATACTACATCTAATTAGCTATCTAGGTCCATTAGTTAATTGTTCAATTAACAGTCTAGGATCTGCACCTCACTATGTCAGACTACAGAATGTTTGGTGTGAAGCGTGACATTGACTGCATTCCTCTTACTAAGGTCAGAAATTGAACTTTATCAAAATGTGTTTAGCAAAATCTTTAAAATATAATTAATAAAATTATATTTTCATCGTATTTAGTTTGAAAAGTAGATTGGGAAACATACATATTAGTGGTAAAATCATTATTTTCTTTTTAAATTTAAAAAACATTCATATCACCATGTCGTCTCCAAAGCAGAATATTTATACACTGCATATAAACATATCTAAACGACAATTGAATTCATCGTAGATTCAAAGAGTTCGTACCCTCTTTCGTTAAACTGGTCCTTCCTAACCAAATGCTTGGAAGATTTTAACTTTAAATTAAGTAATATCATAGTATCTGAGCAATATTTGCACAAGCATTTCCATATATACTAAAACCTAATATTTTTAACAAGTGTTTCTACCATTAAATTTCGTTATATTATTTTAATATTTTCTATTTTTCAATTAACCCTCTTTGGTGGCTATCACGTATGGCTGAAGGTCGTGAGGTGCTTAGTCTCGGGTCAGGTCTAAATACTTATAGGGGTTTTCTGTCATGAAGTATACAGTAAATCTTGAGTTGGGAAATTGGGAGTGTTCCACCCCCGTGCCTTGGACAGCACGTTAAGCTATCCGTCGTCTATCTTATCCCTCTCTCATCGGTTGTGTCGAATCGTCATCCCATCGGGATATAAGGATTGATAGGAATATATGTAACGGGGAGATGTGACCAAGTGTGGTTAGTCTCGTTGAGATTGGCCGGGATAACCAAAACCGGTCAGGACATAATAATTTTCTTAATAAAATCTTGCTCAATAGCCACTTGCTATCAGTTAAATATTTGCCAAACGTTATCTGTTTGATGAATCTTAAGTTAGTATTTAAGTGCGAATGGATTTTTTAGATCAAGGTTTTGGATGCTAAAAGAAGATTTTTAAAATTGATAACTAAGAGTTAGAGTTTAATTTGGATTATTTTTTTCTTTTTAATATAAAAAGCAACAGTTTCTTGCGATATCTATACTAATATTATAAAGAGGAAAGCTTTATTTGTTTGTTTGTTTGTTTGTTTGTTTGTACTGAATAGGCTCCGAAACTACTAAACCGATTTAGATGAAGATTAGTAAGAAGATATTTTGAGACCATGTAAAGGACATAGGATAGTTTTTATCCCGGAAATCATCCCACAAAGGGGTGGAAATGGGGATGAAAGTTTGTATGGGGAAACAACCTAGGGACGAACCCGAGCGAAGTGAGGGTGAGTGTTTCTTAATAGAGTTAGATAAATTATAGCAATTAATAATTATTATTATAATTCAGCCCTTTTGGGATCATAGGTGAGAGACCTGGGATTCGATCTCGCTTCACTTTATTTCCTAAGTAATCGTATTACCACTGGGCTACCACTGTCTTTACAAATGTACAGACATAATTTAATATTTCTAATATTATTAAGGATCTCTTCTATTCGTCTGATAACATTGCTTGACAACTCAACATGATAAATACAATTATTTGCTTTCCCCACAACTTATTATAATGACGACCGAAATAGTTGTTTTTAACGAACTATGATTGTTATCAATTATCACGTTTGAATATACTCGTACGTACTTGAGTGCACTCAAAAGTAAGTTTTCGTCTTTGTCACTGTGATTTAATAGGAAATGGACTTACAATCGCTTCGATCTATTTATATGGTTAGTGGAGCTAATGTGTATTTTTGTCATAAACTAATATAATTTGTTCAAAGGGTAAGTATAGGTAAGTATAGGTACAGCGAGCTCTCCCTTTGTACCTCCCAATTGAAAACACACATTATTCAGTAACTTTCTGTGCTTGTCTAAAGTTCTTTATTTCTCTTATTTAATTATGCTAGTGTTTATTTTATTTATTTATTTGTAAAAAGCACACTTACAACATACATATGAAACATTTTCAATTTAATTATTGTAATAATAATATACCTTATATGCATGTCGATTATAAGTGTACATAGCATTTAAATATTCATGAATTAAAAGTACAAACATTTAAAAATAATAATAATAATAGTTATAGATAAATGTCATAATACAAAAGAAATTGATAATAATACATAATAATAAGAAGTAAAATTAAAATCACCATTAAAAAAAAATTGAAAATAGTATTCGCTAATTCTTACCATATTTTTTTATTGATGATATTAGAGTTCATCAATAGTTGCTAAACAAAAAAAAAAGAAAATCTATAGACAAACAGTAGAGCAAAATGTGTTGAAAAGTTTTATCTTTGCCTATTTATGTATATATTTTAACTTAATCAATCTACCTTTTTTAAAGACAGCTAAAAGACAAATACTATTCCACTCTTCATATCAATCCTAAAGCACTAGATAGTAGAAACTTACTTATACCACAGATTCACTCCAGCTTTCAGATAGCGTGTTATTGCATTGTATTCCATATACAGATGCATTTAAATAATCTATTCCTTTGTCACCAGATACCTGAACACCATCAGAGCTCAGCGTCAGTATTCAGCGATGGCGATAATCAGACAGACGAACAAAATGTTATTTCCGACGAAGAACGCGCCAAGTAAGTCAAATAGTTGGTTTTATTTCGGTTATTAGCTTTACATAATAATATACAAATAAATAAAATACAAATAATCAAATTCTGAGTCAAATTTGTACATTGTAATTACTATTATTACTGATACAGAGGCCAAATATATAGTTTTTAGAATGTTTGTCTGTCTGTCTGGGAACGCATCACGAGAAAAATACTCTAAGTCAGATTTTAATGAAATTTGGTATGATGATTGCTGGTTATCCGGACCACATATCAGATATTTTTTACTGGGGGAAAGTATCTCATATCCAAAAAAATCTATACTAAACGTTAAAACTAGAGACGAACCCAAGCGGAGCGAAAGTGAGTCGCCAGTTATAGATAAAAATAAAATAAGATAAACACACTCAACCAACGTTACTCTATGGGTATTGTCAGAATGCATCTTATAACCCCATGACTCAATCTTTACTAATAACCATTGAAGAGTTACATCACCTCCTGGCACCGTCATCAGGTTAACTCGATGGTATCGTATGTTATAGTAATTTGTTATCCGGATTCGGATAAGAAAGTACAAAGTCCTAAATCGACATACCATTCGAAAGTAGGTTAAAATCGAGAATAAATGGATTAAAGGTCAATTAAACAGTTTTAGATTTTATTTTCTACCTATATCTACACTTCTATTATAAATAGGAAAGATTTGTATTTTTGTATGTTTGTAACGAATAAACTCAAAACTACTGAACCGATTTACATGAAATTTGGCAAGAAGATAGTTTGAGACTCTGGGAAGAATATAGGATATTGTTTATTCCCGAAATAATCCCTTAAGGGGTTGAAAATGGGGATGAGAGAATGTATATTATGTTTATCTATTAAAGTGCCTCCTGAATTTAAATCAAATATGTTGAGTAGATTAAAAAATATAGCTTAAACTCTTACCTATATCACATACCTACAAATACCATAAAACAATTCACTCACTATCCTAATCAAGTGAAAGCTGTTTGTTTTTCCAGGATAAAAAAATATATATCTTAAACAAATTAATCAGAACAATACGAAATTATCGCCAATTTTACAATCACGTATTTTCAAAGTGGATCTCTTAAAATATATGCAAGGTGTTCATCGTTAACTGTTCTACATAATAAGTATACAAAATAGTGACCACTGTAGTAGTAATTTATCTAATATTACAATTTTATCTATACAGACAAATAAAATTGAAGTGTCTGTTTGTAATGTCAAAATAACAGCTTTTTACTAAATGCATATGGATGTATACATGGTAGGTATATATACCAAAACAACATTTTTTACAATTTTTTCTATCTGTCTGTCTGTTTGTTTCGGCTAATCTCGGAAATGGCTGGACCCATTTTGATGGGACTTTCACTGGCAGATAACGGATGTAATAAGGAGTAACTTAGGCTACTTTTATTTTAGAAAAAAAAATAGGGTCCCACGAAAAAAATTAAAACCAATGAAAAATTTAATAATATCCGATTCAAAAAGGGAAGTTGTATATGTACATACCCTAGAGACAAACCCGAGCGAAGCGAGGGTGAGTCGCTAGTTATTCATATAATTTCCCTACTTTAGAATAATTTTGTTGAATGTTTGTCACTTCAAATTATAGTTTCATTTAACGAGCGATTTCATGAGGGAGTTTCCCGTGAACCTATTTCTTATAAAACATTTAAAGCCTCGGTTAAAAAAAAAATAAAACCGCGATAAAATCCGAAATGATAGTTTTAAAATAACTTATCTTCTTTATTTTCAATCGATCTTTTTTTCTAACAAACTCTACATACATGTGTACACTTACATAATGTATCCATATCCTGATAATAATTACTATTAATATTCCTAAATGAATCTATTTTATGTTAAATTTCATCAAAATCAATCCAACATTGTTTAAGTTAGAACAAACAGACAGTTAGACTTTCACATATTAGTAAGTTAATCCAAGTACATATCCCAAGGGCTTCGCAATCATATCAAATGAATTGACCAAGTAGGATTGTTGTTGCGGTCAGTATATCATTTCACAACGTCTGCGGCTTAATGAGGAAGTGCAGTGGCCAGTGACCCGGAGACGCCCTTTGCCAAATGCTAGGTGTACTCGTAGTCACCAACTAGCAAATAACTTAAATTTTAGTCGACGACGCGTTTGGCTCAGTGTGTAGTAACCCTACTTGCTATGCCAGCGGATGCAGGTTCGAATCCCGCTGGGGGCATTCATTTGTGTGATGAGCACGAATGTTTGCATTCTAGTCATGGGTGTTTATATTTATAATATGTATGTATTTAAAGTTATATATATGTAGTGTATCAACTATCTGGTATCCATAACACAAGCTTCGTAGCTTACCATGGAACTAGATGGTGCTGTGTGTTAATGTCCCAACATATTTATTTTATTTTATTTATTTAGTATCTATTGTGAGGTTTTTTATAATATAAAGGTATATTATACACTAATCTATTAAAAACATTAAAATGACAAAATTAATAAAATAACTTTCACTCGCAAGAGAGTCAACCTTTGGACCGACCAAAAAGAGTCGGTTAAGATGTGAATGATAAAGTTGAGGTACCTATTTCTCATTTATCACAGTAATTTATATTTTCTTATTGCAAGTCGAAACTCAACAATAAAAAGGGCAACTGTTGAGTTTCTCGCCGGCTCTTCTCGGCAGAACTGCTTTCCGAGCCGGTGCTTCCTCACGGCCTGACTACACTGACGCTTATGAATTTAAATTGACAATTCAAAAGTGCTTATATAAGTCTAATAGAATAAAATTTAATTTAATTTTAACCATCTTATCAGTTATATTATATTTTTTTCAACGAGACTCGCAGCAAATATAAGCATGTATGTCTTCGACTGTATAATACTGTTACTTTGTCAACTTGATCCAAACTTTTGAATTCGGTTTTTACGCACTCGGTTATTTTGTTTTGTAATATACGAGTAGTACCCGACTTTCAATAAGGACCCAATTTGGTTGAATTTTGTGGGGCGTATTATGCAATGAGTTAGCGTACCGCGAAGCGATCGTTATAATACTTTTTTAATGAATACTTATAAAACAATCTTACCAAATAAATATAATATAATATTTTTAATTGCTTGGTTTTTTACTGTAAAATATTTTTTGTGTTAAAAAGTTATTATCTAATAGATATTCTTATACTCTTTTTATACTAGCGTTATATATATATATATATATATATATATATATATATATATATATATATATATATATACACTAGCGGACCCGACAGACGTTGTCCTGTCTACACGTCTTTAATTTGAAAATTTCAAACCTTTTTTAATAATTTTTTTGATGAAAATTATTATTCAAATTGTGAATCTAAACCATTCCCAGATCCCCTTGAACACACACAAAAAATTTCATCAAAATCGGTCCAGTCGTTTGAGAGAAGTTCAGTGACATACACACTCACAGAAGAATTATATATATATATATATATTATACGATATACATTGACGATTCAAAAGTGCTTGTAAAAGGCTATTTGAATAAATTATCTATATTTAAAAAAAGACTTACACTCAGCCCACTACGAGCGCTATATAACAAAGTAGACTATCTCTCGCTTTGTATGGAGCTACATATTTTAGAAACCTATAATATGAAATATTATTATATTTTTAGGAACTATTATTATATTAGAATTGAATTAAAAAAATGTAATATTAAAATACAGCTTCTGTTTTCAAATAAATCTATATTTTTAAATGGTCATGGGAGAGACTCATGATTGCTGTAAAGCATTCGAAACGTAGAGAACCAAAAATCAAAATAAATCCGCGAAAAAATCCGAAAAGACAGTTTGATTTGAAATGTCAAATATTCGAGTGAATCTAAGAGAGTATTACAGTATATCATTCTCACGTGATTACACGCATCTCGCATACATCACACTAATATTACAAGTGTATGCGAGCTAAAGACCGAAAATGTCCAAACTCGTATGTGTGTTTGTTCCTCTTTTACAATGTAACCGTTAAATAGGGTTTGAATTAAATTCGGAACATGGCTTACATTAGATAAGGACATATAGTGCTTTTCATTGATGTACCTATCACGCGAATAAAGCCTAAAATTTCAACAAACCAACAAATTTCTATGATAATACTGGAAAATAATTCGTATTTTACCATATCTGAAACACAGTTTTCATAAATTTACAATTTCTATACAAATTTATTATCTAAATACATATAATAAAATTGTAACTAAGCCGAATCTGTACATTAAATATTTTTTGGAAAATCTTATTGAAATAGACATTATTATCGATACAGAGGCCGAATCTATACTTTTTAGAATTTTTGTCTGTCTGTCTGTCTGTCTGTCTGTTACCGCATCACAAAAAAACCACTGGAGGGATGTTGATGAAATTTGGTATGGCCATAGCTGGTTATCCGGGTCAACATATAGGATACTTTTTACCGCGGGAAAATATCCCATTTATGAGCAAAATGCAAAAACTGCAATGTAAGAGTATACTAATCTGTAAAACCTGAGAATTTTATTTTTGGTCATCTGAACGCGGGCGGGGCCGCGGGTAATGCAATGTAAATAAAAACAAGTATATACATATGTATGAGAAGAATAAAATGTACGAGGTTCGGTAGGTCAAGAACCTCCATCCTCCAGATGGCACCCTTAGTGTAATAAAATAAACGAGCAATTGACACACATTGTGCCCGAAAGTGATTTATCACCAACCATTAGCGCACGCGGATTTACACTCTACAGTTACACTATACACTGTATATGTACAGACATACATAGGACATAGGATATATTATATCAATAAGTAAAATATATTTTTATTTATTCTTTATTGCACACGCTCTAAATTGGCTATACATAAACTTTTTTCGAATGTCTTATGTATTCTACATAAGGCGGGAAAAGCAGGTTTTTTAACTAAAACTAAAAACAATCTGTAGTGTTGGCGAGACGATATAA